TTCTAAGAAAAGAAAAGAAATGTGGCCAAATTTTCAAAGAATTGCTTTGATGGAAGTTTAATCCTGAGCCACCACGACCATACAAGATTGGACGCAGCTGAGCCGAATGAAATTGTGCAAGTTTTATATTTGTAAGGTTCACGTTAGTATAAAAATTACAATAAAATTTCGTTTTAGCCGCACCGATGTACATAGCTCACTTTTTCGTTATTTAACGATGCGCGATGCAGCTACAATTAAAAACTATCCATAAAGATAAATAAAAACTTCTTAATTCTTCCATGTTCCATGTGAAGATAACTTAAATAAATTTAGTTTTTTTCATAAAAGCTGTTGCGAATCTTATCACTAAAAATTAACCTGTAATTAAAAATATTTCAAATCCATTGTTATTTTATGGCTGTGAAATATATTTTTGCAGTCTGCGGTGAACAATCTTATCAAACAGTCAATCGCTGGACATTAATCACAATTGGGTACTACACAGATTGGCATATTATCGAATAATTTTACTGTTTTATGGTGTAGTACAACATGTATGTGTAAGTATATATCGAAAAAGTTTGTCACTTACATAAGTTTAGGTATTGTGCCTGTCTGCGATCAAAATTTCTAGTGTATTGTATTATTAAGTACCTATCAGGGAAGCCAACTCGTGGGGAATTCCCCGATTTGTGGAGAATTACAGTTTACGTGGGGAATCGAGGAATGCGCCGTTTTTTGTGGGGAATTTCAGTTTACGTGGGGAAGCGGGGGATAAATTTATTTTTGTGAGGAATTAGATCTAAAAAAAATGTATTTTTTGCTTCACAAATTTCATAATGAATGCCGTATGCAGTTTTGTAGCTCGGCCAATTCTAGTATAATAAAGTTTCAAAAGGCTAGAAATTAAGGTTCATTATTTAGAACTTTCCTTGTGGCATTTGCTTTCATATAACGAATAAACACAATTTATTTTATATGGAAGAAAACCCCAACACCTTCGGCAAAAAAAATCTAAAACAAAAATTTTTAGGTACTTGAAACTTTATAAAAATAACTCGAATTAAATAACAAAAAAAAATTGTGAAAACTTGTAAAAATTTGGTGGTAAATATTATATGTACATTTTTTGTTCTTTATTTGTAAACAAACTTAATAAAAGTTTGGTTTGCTTTATGAGTACATAGATGAATTATACATATTTAAAAATAAAATAAACAGAAATACCAGATATACCAAGAGATATCTATGGGTGGGGAATTTTACGAAATTTCGGGCATTTTCGACATTGTCGAAATCGGGGAATTTTCAAAAATGAGTTGGCTGTCCTGGTATGTATTTTACAACGTCTAAAAGTTAAAAAAATATATATTTTGTCAAAAGCGTATTTGAGAAGCCAACGAAGCAACGTTAAACAACAACAAAAAATAACGTACTTGGATCGGTTATTTATGTGTTTATTTTTTTTTTATTTTAGTACGACAATTTCATGGCAATTCAAACCATGCCGGACTTTCCTAATATTTTATGAAAGTATACATTTCCAGTGATAAACCACACGCTGGATTCGCAAAAGTTAGCTCGCGTTTTTATTTTATGGGCTACTACATTTTACATAACCGGGCGTAAACAGTTTCAAAGAAGTGGAAAAAATTGTTGAAATAAATGTCTGGGCAAAATTAAAGGTTAAGACATATATAGTAAAATTTGATTTGAAATATTTTCGTAGAAAATCTAACCCATTAGCTGCCGCCTGAAAAATTCGTTTTGGCCCTTAATTGAAGAAACCCCTGAAAAAGCAAATTTGGTAGTTCGTCTGAGGATTGGTAAGTTCTAGAAAACAGTTCTTCGGAAAATTTTACTAGGTCACCAACGTAAAAGTTTCTTAAAAATTAACTCAAAACAAGTAAGAAAGTCTAAGTTCGGGCGGAGCCGAACATTAAATACCCGGCGCAAGTATTAAATATATGTTTTCCACCTTTCCGAAAGCTACCGCTACATGATAAGCCGGGGTTACATTTTAAGTAAATTAGCGTCCTTAAATTTCGAAATATTGAAATTTCAAGCATATCTGAAATTTACCGTTATATGAAAAGCGACCTCAATTTTAGTCCGATTTCAACAATTTTCAACGGTTTGCTTTTATGTGGCAAGCACAATAACCATACCGAGCTTGGTATAAATTGCTAGAACGGTTAGCGAGATACATATATGTGATCACAAGTGGGCGGTACTACGCCCATTTTCCAAAATTTTGTCATAAACGTATTTCTTGGTAAAGAATTGTTGCAATCATCAATTTTGAATAAATTAGCTTCAATATTTACTGATTTATCGAAGATTTTGTATTTCTCGAAATTACCGTTATATGGGATGTGGGCGTGGTTATTGTCCGATTTTAGAAATTTTCGGCCAGTTGGTATGCTGTACCAGGACCAACAACTGTGCCTAGTTTGGAAGAAATTGGTGTAGCGGTTACCAAGATATACACATGTAACCATAAGTGGGCGTGGCTACACCCATTTGCCAAAATTTTGTAATATTCTTATTTTTCGTCTAAAACTCATTGCAAATATCAATTTTGAGTGAATTATCTTCAGTAGTTACTAAAATATCGCAGTTTTCGTTTTTCTGAAAATTACCGTTATACGGGAGGTAGGCGTGGTTATTGTCCGATTTTTTAAATTTTCAGCCATTTAGTATGCTGTACTAAGACCAACAACTGTGCCAAGCTTGGAAGAAATTGGTGCTGCGGTTTCCAAGATATACACATGTAACCATAAGTGGGCGTGGCTACGCACATTTTCCAAAAATTTATAATATTCATGTTTTCCGTCTGAAACTTATTGTAAGTATCAATTTTGAGTGAATTATCTTCAGTAGTTACTAAAATATCGCAGTTTTCGTATTTATTAAAATTACCGTTATATGGGAGGTAGGCGTGGTTATTATCCGATTTCGCCCATTTTCAATACCATCCGTCCCACGCCCAAAAGAAGTTCACGTACCAAGTTTCGTTAAGATATCTCAATTTTTACTCGAGTTATCGTGTGCACAGACGGACGGACGGACGGACGGACGGACGGACGGACAGACAGTCACCGCTTAATCGATTTCTCTTTTCATTCTGATCATTTATGTATACATTTGTCTATATCTATCTCGATTCGTTTTGCCTGTTACAAACAACCGTTATGTGAACAAAGTTATAATACCCTTGTGCACAAGTGCGCTCGGGTATAAAAAGAATAATAATAAAACTTAATTTTTAAACATTTTTGTAGAAAAAATCCAAGTTTTTTTGCTGCTTCGAAATAGATACTAAGCAAGTGATCTACTGGCCGCAGTGCTTTATTTAGCTATCTATCTAGCTAAGCAAGTGCTATTGGGCTAAAGACCATATTATTGGTTATACATATTTATACTTTTTGATGTAAGTAACTCCTTACGTGAAATTCATTTCATTAACCGTAGAACGATAAGCATTCGTAAATTTTACGACTATGAAATTGAAAATTTGCAGTTGGCAATGCCCTACGGCATGGATCTCATTGAAAGTTCATTGCACGCGATGACAAGTGTTTTTTAAGGAATACGGAATACGGTGCTTTAGCGATGTCTGTGTATGTGAGGCAGTGACTATGTTCGTAAATTTTACGAATGTTTACTGTTTGCGTAAGTTTTTTTTTCGTTTTATAGTTGAAGGGTGCTCAGCAAAAACTTATTATAAACTATATGTTCTTTTCTTTTTGGTTAGTGGAATCATTGCAAAAGTATTCTCGACCACTAATTTTGAAGAAAGTTTAAAAAATATTTGAAGAATAAGTCGACCAAATACACTGGATCAGAAACTGAGGATAATACTCGCAGATCATCGGTGGCGATTTTTCACGATATGCTAATGTTGCATGCATTCATTCTCGCATTATTTGTTACCATAATAGACGAAGCAATGGAGTGCAGCCGCTTAACAGAAAGAAATTTGGTTTCTACTATACAAAAGCACACAACTCATTCGATGTTCCCATATCAAAAACGCCGAATGACAACACTTGCTTGCACACTCTGCCACCGACCTATCTGCGGAGAACACCAAGTACATTGCTGCATACCAAGCGCCAACTAAAAATAATTGGTAGTGTCTACTGTCACTTAACCAGTGTCACCAGTGTCGGAGGTCTTCGGCTCCACCAGTGCCGCCAGTGTCACCTGTGTCGTCAGTGTGGCCATATTATTATATTGTTTTATATAGAAAAGCACCGCAGACCAAATTGGCAGATTTCTTAATCCTTTTTACTATATGTTTAAATTTTTTATTTTTTTTTAATAGAAAAAGCGACGCAGCCGAAACTTTGGAATCAAAAATCGCGCGAATTTTTATTCCAAATTTTCACTATATATTAAGTTATTGTTTTTTTTTTTAATATGGATATAAAACAATGTTTTAATATATATAGTAAAAATTTTGAGTAAAAAATCGCGCTATTTTGTTATTAAAACTAGAAGAAAAAACTACATATCTATATATACCTAATCAAGGCCGTATTTAGGGGGGGGGCGTTGCAGGTGTTCTGACCCCTTCTGTAGATTAGAAGCATACAATGAAAGTCTATGCAAAATTCCAGTTGGCTCCAAAGTTGGAGTATATTTATTTAGCCTTGAACGAAATATTAAACACAAGATGGTATTCAATCTAAAAAAGTGAAATTGCAGGTAAATTGCTTGAAAACTTGAATTTTTTACTTTTCGATGTGGTTTTCTATTAAAGAGTGTTGTTTTAGTTACACATTTTTCTGCCAATTCTTATTAGAATTGACAACAAAATTATTTGCGCGCGAATGTCAGTTATTTTATAATCAGCCATTAAAATCTTTTGTAAGTTTTGTAAATTTCTGAATAATATTTCTTTGTTTTTTTTTTCTACTTTTCAAATCATTCCAAAAGCCTCACTCTAAAACCACACAGTACTTCCTTCTAAATAACGAAAAATATTTAATGCATAAATTTTAGCTAATGACCTTTTTTGTGTAGGTACATATATTTTTCCTTTGTGTAAAACACGTTATAAATTATTTGTAAAAGAAAAAATGCACACGCGAGTCCGATCGAACAGTTAATTTTCCGCCAATCCGAAGCCAAACCAAAGCGCACTCAAAACCCAAACAGTCGCGATCGTTGTTTCTGCAGACTAAACCGCTGCTACTTGAAAACGAAACACGTTTGCTGCGGCTCAGCTGTGCAAGTGCACTGATTGCTGACGAATTTAATTTGCCATCGGCCAAGCTGCGCTCACGATAAAATGCTTAAAACAGCAGAGTGTGAAAAAGCCACAGGTATACCGAAAAAACATAAGCTCAATCGCGAATTTAAACACTGTACATATGTACCTATACGAAAGTACTTGTAGGCACCAATATGTATGTAGGTATGTATGTATATTTCGTTAATTATACAATAACCGGTGGTCTGCGCTGCGAGTGGTCACAGTGGCGTAAATATTTTGTTTAATTTCAAATTCCGGTTGCGTTCGATTTCTTACCAATAAGCAATGATTGAATATTGTGGACTTGTCTTGCGAGTTTTAATTTTTGTTAACGGCTACAACAACTACACTTCCTTAAGTTATGACCACAGCATACAGCCCTCAGCAGTCGAGTTATCAAATCTGACTGGCTGGCATTCAAACTACACTATGTATTGCCTTCAACTTTCTTTTCTCTACGTTGGTTGGCGCTATCGACTAAAACTACATACAATCGCATTTATTGTGGCAATAAATCCTCTCTTTCTAGTTTAAAAATCTGGTTATCAGAATTTACAGTAAATAACTATTAGATATGTAAATGCACATGTACATACATACATATGTACGCATTCTAGTACAAAAGGTACGCCAGGGCGTATGAAGCTTGTCGACGAATCGTTAATATTCCATACTAATCGACCATTGAGTAATTATGGTCGTAAAGATTAGAGCGTTCAAATAAGTGAAAGTCGTTATACTAATTTACATATAATCTCAGTCTTATGATTGCTACACAATTTAAATATAAAAATGCATTTGGTGCAAAAAATTACCAAATATTACGACCACAGGCAAACAGAGTAGTTCCGTCCTTGTACTACTTTTGTGGATCATAAAGTAAGTGGATACGCTGAAGGCATTGCTCTGGCCATTGTGGCTGAAGGCATTAATTAAAATCAGCAGGCTAGGACAATGCTGCTAATATGATCGTTGAATTGCTTATGGGTAATCGGCTGAACTTAATGATTGTGATAACTGAGGCTGTTCTCATCACAATCAGGAAGAAAAAAGAATACACAACCCTGAGTGTAAACGAGAATGCATTTTACACGATGACTGTAGTGAGGCCGTAAGGCGTGATTACTGATGGCAGGTTATTATTCAAAATGTACAGTAAAACGTATTGATGGCAACGATTCGCAGCACGTTTTCCAGACTGATAGAAAACATAGACGTATAAACCTATTGGCGAAAGTTACTCATTATGCTTCCAGATTGGCGCTGTAATCGCCCAAGCGATTTTAGTCGAGTCCAATAAAGCACGCCTACCAGTTCTTTTCTGTACCAACTGCCGATCAATGGAAAGGTCAGATGAAGCCAAGGTCTTTTCCACCTTGTCTCTCCATTGCAGGAAAGCTCTTCCTATTCCTCTGCTACCAACAGCTATGTAGATCCACATTGAATATTTTCAGGACTAGAGCATTTGCCTTCATTCGTATAATATGACCGAGGCAGCGGCGCCACTGTATTTAAATCCGTTGCATGATGTCTACAGGATGGACAGGTCATATTGCTCACCGTTCCATCGTCTGCGGAATTCACCGTCGCCAATAGAGAGTTATGTAATATGTTGGCGGAAACATTAAACTTCATCTGATTTCGATGTGGAAATTTATCATTTATTTGGTACTTTTAAAGAAGTTACTACAGTTTAAAAAGAAACACCTGCTATTATGTTTTCAGGGCCAAACGCAATTAAACTGAATAGCCGGTATCACGCTGATGCTGGCATTTTTTTGGTAAATTTACCGTTCGCAGAAATGGCGGATGAGTAGATGATGTGAAATTTTGTATTTCCGAATTTTACTTTTCCCACTCTAAGCTCAACAGGTGTGCTATATCAACTGTCAACATGACTTTTTTTCACCTACCTCCATACAGTCGAAATACTGTGCGATGTAGAGAACAAAGGTGGCACATTCCGCAAACCGCCTCTTTGATTTTGCCGATATTGAGAATTCTCAAGTAAAAGGAAACAACCACCATATCACGCGATCAATTGTGCTTGCTGCGATACAATTTTTGAACACAAAAAATACCACTATTTAATTCCCTCAAAAAATACATGATATGAAAAATATAAGCTGTACATACAGGGGAGAAAATATTAATAGGGAAGAGACATTGTAGCATCCTCCTAAAATTAGCACAATTCGACAAAATTTCATCAAAACTTGGAGTTTTATAATTTGATTTCTTAGAAACATTCTGAGTTATCAATTTTGTAGCCCATTCAATTTTAGTGAAACCAAGTGCAAATTATAATTAGCTAAGACTTACCGTTGATTTTTGGTAATATTTTTTTTTTTTTGTGGAAGGTGTTGCTCATTTTCTATATACAAAAAAAAATTGTCGAACACACTTTGTACGTAAGAAAATGCGCAAACAAAAAATTGCCAAAAATCAACGGTAAGTCCAAGCTGCTTCGAACTTGCTCTTTATTATACTAAATATAAAACTAAATGGACCCCAAAACGGCAATCTCAAAAAAATTACAAAAAAATCTGATTAAAAAGTTTAAAATTTTGAACAGCATTTGTTTATATTCGACGAATTTTTGTAAATGTTCTACAAAGTGTGCAATTTTGACTAACATGTTTTGTCTAGATAGTAATATATACATATATTCATAAAAAAATAACAAACATTTTTTTTAAACAAAGAAAAGTTGCCAAAACTTGCTAAAATGTTTCCTATTTAAAAAACATTAGTGCTTTTCTAGAGGCCAGTCCCTTTTATTTGACACCTTATCTTTTGTAATCCAACGAACAGTGCGTAGCTTATAGTTTTTTAGACAAGTGGCAACCCTATTGAAATTCTAAGTAAAAATAGTCACTCTCCTGTCGATACAGAGTGTATTGGAGAAATCTCGTCAAATTCCGTTCACTAGTTTTCGAGATTACCGCGTACAAAGAATCTTGATCTTCCTTTATACTAACGAACTTTGAAATACATTTTTTTGAACGTCGGGTCGAGTTAAGTTGATGCAGCTAGCAAAAAAGAATGTTCGATGGATGAATTTTAGACAACTACAGAATTCACATTTCTTGAAAAGATTTTTACGACTATGTTACAATTAATCGATTAATAATCGATTATTGAAACACAAAACTACGAAAGAATTAAATCGTAAATTGAACAAAAATAATCAATTAATTTAACCAAAAGATTAATCGCTGCCATCTCTAGTTGAAATTGTTTGAGTTTAAACTGGTAGATGGAGGGAACATCGGAAGCACATATGGACCACATGATGGATAGTGCCTTAACTCAACGTCCGTTGAACACTGCTATTGTCCTAAAAAGTTATTAATTTTTTGCTAAAAGTTTACTTACATTAAAAATTTTGGGTAATTTGTCCTCAGTAGTGAATGAATCATCGCAGTTTTTACATTTCTCGAAAATGCCCGAAAATCTGTGATAGACTTGGTTTCAAACCGAAATCCTTATATAGTGCCGATAATTGTTCCATAAAGACAGGTTTATCGATTATTTCAAAGGTTTTTTAAAATACTCACATACCAAAATTTTTTTGGGAAATTTGAATTTTTGATATTATATTTGCCAAAGCTTTCATATAAAAATATTTCTTATATAGAAAAAATATTTGCAAATAAATAAAATAATTATGGAAACTGAAGCCAACGCCCCGCTTGTAAAGTCACTTGATGATAATTATTTAGCCAATATCGAAGCTGAGTCATCAAAATCAGCGAAAACAGCACCGGCCAAGAAAAGGAAGAAGAAGACCTTGACAAAAGCGCAGAAAGAAGAGCTAAAATTGAAAAGGGAGGCCGAGTCTAAGAAGTTGGAGTTAACTGTAAGCCTAACAAAAAGTAAAGTAGTTGTGGGTTATTAACGCTTGCGGTGACTTCTAAATTTAGCAAAATTTAAAACGGGAGCTCGAGTTATACATGCGATCTGCGAGGAAAAGCAGAGAGGATTGGGAGGAAATATGTAGGGAAATCAAGATAGGGGAACTGAAATCTGAAGTTCAGGTAAGTACGGTATGACAACATTTAAAAAATTAGCTTGAATTCTTGGATATTTGAAAGGAGTGGGAGAATAAAACGCAGCGGGTAATGCAACAGAAGGATGAGAAAATACAAAGCCTGCTTGCAGATATGGAGTCCACAAAAGAGATGGCCAAACGAAATTTCGAACGTCATCTGCAGGTGCTGGATTATGCCACAAGTAAGCAGTAAATCGTCGACTAAGTGCAAAATAGATCCACCTTGGTATAAAGTTCGAAAACGTCCTATTTCAGATAAATTTTCAAGAACGCCCTATTTCAGTATTTGATTCAAGGGCGCACTTTCACAGCTGCCGATTCAAAATCGCACTATCTCAACATGTTTTTAATATATTTTCAGTTGAGATTCTTAAAACGTTAGGGTGTTTTCGAACCGGCTGCCGAGATATGTCAAAATACGGACCAAAGAACCATAATTAAAGTACTTTCGACCCAATAATTACGTAGTTCCTGTATATTGAGTAATATTCTATTGAGAAGAAATAATACTTTACTCAAACTCTTTCGAAATAGATTGCTACAACACTCTGATCGCAGTTTCTAAGCAGCTCTACGAATTTGAGGCACAGCAAATGATCCAAGAATTCCACGAAGAACTAAACTCTCGGAAAGATATCGAGGATGGGTTTCGACTCAACTGTGAAAATATCACGCATGCCACCAATTTAGTAGTGGAAAATCAAATGCTTACGGACTATAATATCTTCGTGGAGAAGCAGGATAACGCGGTGAATACTCAGATCGAGAAACGCTTTCAAATACGAGACAGCGTCATCGCAAAAATGAAAGCTCTTCACAAACAACTCATCGACTTCATTAACTCGCTGGTGGATACCTCATTGGATGCCAAAAAGTACGAGCACATCCACGTGCTGATGCAACGTCAGCGT